AAAATATCCTTTCCAGATAAATGTCACATATTCAGCCTGACAGATTTCCTAAATGACCAGATTTTTTTCTGATGTGGTAATTTCTCCAACATAGAATTTTATTTAGTGCAACAAAAATCAGATTAGCTCAAAATCACTTTTTTTTTGAACAGTAATTTAGATGTGCATAATGGTAACAGTTTTATGGCAGAACAGTCAGAATTTTTATTTTCTGTTAGCATTATCTAACTGAGCAAAATGATTGGGAGCCTGCAGTGAAACAAATCAACAAACAAACAAAAAACCCAACCAAACCAAACATCTCAGACAAGACTTTACACAAAAAATTCCACATTCCTGAGGAAGATGCCATGGAAAGCATTTGGAAGGACATAATGTTCTCTATCAATCCAAGACACTGCATGAGATACTAATTTACCCATAAATGTTGAGTATATAAAAATACTTATGCTGAAAGAAAAAAAATAGAAGTTGTTTGAGACAATGATAATACAGTTGACTTTTTTTGTATAAACTAAAAAAATAACTATAAAAAAAAAATAAAATAAACCCACCAAATGCCAAAACCACAGCTCAGTCTTCCTAAGTAGAAAGGCATCTTCCATTAGCCCTCCTTAGGAAAGATATTGTTTTAAGAATACATTTTATGTAATTTAGTCTTCCTTGTGCCAAGCTTCATTTAAGGTCTTTTAAAAGCAACTATATCTCATATCTTTTGATTGGGACATAGGAGCCTACTCTATTTTTTACTCAAATAAAATTAAGATACAGTGCTTTTCAATGAATTGACATTTAGATATGTTAAAATCTGAGCAAGAGAAAGTAGGGTTAAAGCCACATCCAGAGTTCACAGGAGGATGAGAAAGACTGGAGATGAATGCTGAAGAAACTCTCTAGCAAACACTAAGGTCTTCCTTAAACATATGAGAAGTCCCAATTCAGTGACATTACTGCAGGTTCCTGAAGTGGACACCACTGCATTTATAGAAATTGGAGCTGGAAAGGATCTTAAACTGTCTAATCCAAAATTCCATTCAGTGATACTTCAGCTGAGGTGTAAAACAGGCCATCCATCAGTGGACTCCTGTGAAGGGACATAGGTGGCTGCCCTTCAACTGGAAGCTGCTGGGAGTAACTGGATGACCTGGAAAACCTCCCAGTCCAATTTGTCAGAAGATCTGGGAACTGGGACTGCCTCTGGCACAGTGTTTAGCCGCTTGGGGAATGAACAAGGTCTGGAAGCCTCTCCTGCAGAAAGTGTCTACATAAGAAGCTGGAGGCAGGGCAGAGAAAGCAGGCAGTTTAACTACAGAAGCAGCAAAACAAGGGACACGGCTGCAGATGAGAGGGACAAGCTTGTCAAACTGATTCTGATCCACAAATCACACACGAGGGAGAGAAGCTTCTTAAAATATTCCCAAGAAGACCTATCCTATGCCTGGAAAGAGCTGAGGTACAGAAAACAGTTGCTCACTGTTGTTTATAAGCTTGCACTTATGTCACCTATTTGCGTTACGGTGTGCATCACTGAAACTACATGGATGCTGTTAGAAAAGATAGTCAACGAAATTAAAATCTAATTGGAACATCAGGCTTGATATAGGACAATCAAGGAACTGAAATTATCTACTCTTGCTTCTAGTATGCTACAGACTATCACAGAAGCTATCCCCTACTTAGCACTCCTCAGAGCACATCTAATGCAAACTGCTTCGGGCTTCCTGGTGAAACAGAGATGTTGATAAACTCAGTGATCTCCAGAGGTCCCTTCCAACTCCTGCCATTCTGTGATTCTGAGGGCATGAGGCTTGTTCAGTCTGTGGCAGGCTTAGAGGTGACATTAATAGCAGCTCTCCAATGCTTGTGAGGAGGTTATCAGGGAGTTAGGCTCTTCACAAGTGCAATGGTGAGCAAGACGCAAACTGAGATGAGAGAGGTGCTCAACAAAGAGAAGAAAACCCTTCCTCACCACGAAGCCAGCCATGCACAGATTGCCCAGACAGGCAGACTCCATCCTCAGAGATTTTTGAAGATGACACTAAATGCCCAAGCAACCAGGTACCCTCTCAAGAGCTGCCCTTGCTCTGAGCAGGAATTTGGACCAGAGGTGATAGGACAATCAAGGAACTGAAATTATCTACTCTTGCTTCTAGTATGCTACAGACTATCACAGAAGCTATCCCCTACTTAGCACTCCTCAGAGCACATCTAATGCAAACTGCTTCGGGCTTCCTGGTGAAACAGAGATGTTGATAAACTCAGTGATCTCCAGAGGTCCCTTCCAACTCCTGCCATTCTGTGATTCTGAGGGCATGAGGCTTGTTCAGTCTGTGGCAGGCTTAGAGGTGACATTAATAGCAGCTCTCCAATGCTTGTGAGGAGGTTATCAGGGAGTTAGGCTCTTCACAAGTGCAATGGTGAGCAAGACGCAAACTGAGATGAGAGAGGTGCTCAACAAAGAGAAGAAAACCCTTCCTCACCACGAAGCCAGCCATGCACAGATTGCCCAGACAGGCAGACTCCATCCTCAGAGATTTTTGAAGATGACACTAAATGCCCAAGCAACCAGGTACCCTCTCAAGAGCTGCCCTTGCTCTGAGCAGGAATTTGGACCAGAGGTGATTTCAGGTCTCTTCCTGTGACCCCCACGATCCCAGATGCTCATGAGTGATCAGAGTTCATGATCTTTTACCAGCCCAAAGCGTAAGAAACGCCTCGCTTCCCAAAACGCCAAAAAAAGCGATGCCAGAGGCCGACACGGCCGCACACCGGGAAGCTTCCACCGGCCCTGCCCGCACTCGCTGCCACAGTCCTCCCGGCGTGCGGGGCGCGCCGCAGGAAGGCAAAAACAGACGGTGCTTCCCGGGGGGGCCGGGGTCCGATGCCTCCCGGGGCACCCTGCCCGCGGCTCGCAGCCAGGCACAGCCCCTGACCGCCTCCCCTCGGCCGCCTCCCCGCAGGCACCCCCTGAAACTTTCCCCGCAG